ATTTATAAGTAATATATATTTTTATATCTGTAGAAACATATATGTATGTATATCTATGCATGTGGTGAATTCTTTAAGTAAATCCAATAAGAATTAAGTTAACAACGTACGTGCATTTATGCACAAGTCTGTGAAAATAGCCCCAATGAATTAATTTTACAAAATTTACAATGCATAAGGTACAAATTCATTTTTTTTTAAAAGCGAATATCGCCGCAGCACACTTTTAAATGTGCATATGCGTAATACATTCGGACTGGCTTACATATTTACACACACATACACACAGTCATTCGCTCCGACGTTCGTATGCAAGTATTTTAGCTATTGACGACTAAAACGCCTAGCGACCAGAACACACTTAAGCACCACAATTCGCCTTCGCATTAGCCAAGTCAGTTGTTGCCACGGCCGCCAACAATCAACCAAAAGCACTGAAAATATACGAAGCTACGAAGCAAACGAATCTCACGTCTACATATATATATGTATAAATATACATATATACACACACATAGAGACACACACTAATACAAAATATTCCAATACTAATGCACAGCAGGCATTTGTACATACACATGTACGTATTTTTGCACAAATTCACAGTTCTGAACATTTTCGTCTTTTTGCGTAGTATTTTTATCGATCGTTCCATAGAAGCATGTAGAAAATTTTTTTATTCATGCGGCGTTTGCACAAGTTCTTGGCGAATTGAAAAATTTATTCAAATGCATAAACTACCGAAATGCACATGTTTATCGCCTTAACTCGCTTTAGATTTTATAATTAATATATACATATGTGGGTACATATACATATTTCGCCCCATATTACTAATGCAAATTGGTTGGTTACCTTACATTCGATTCACTCGAAACGACAACGACGACTACCAACGAACGGCGAACGACTAAAAGTGATGGCAAATGTTGCACACAGTAAGCGCTGTATCTGTGTGTACGCCTATTTGGTATACATGCATGTATTGGTAGATTTCACACACTCATAAACGCACACATAGACGGCAGCGCATGCCGCTACAGCAATTGAGAGAGCACAAAGTAAAAAGAGAAAGAGAACAAAGAGAACAGTAGGTAAAAATGAGTGTTGCCAACCTGGCTACAAAAAACTGAGTTGCCAGGTGTAAAACAAGTGAACTGGATTCGTTGAGTTTTAAATGACCTGTTGTTGTCATGCCTAATCCATCAATTCGAATTCAAAGAAGCTTGCTGATTAATTTTGGTTATTACAGCTGAGCAAATTACTTCTTAATTATACACATGATGTACTGCAGCTTTTTACGTTAAGTGCAGTAAGCATAAACAAATTTGTTGTTGGCCATTACAAGCTGCAGTTTTATACATTGTATGACGCATGCCACAATAATGTTGGGGAGGAGCTTGACCGAATGCTGCTGCCGCTGCCGTTGTTGCTGCTGTTGCTGTCGTCAATTGTGCGCAATTGTCGTTTAATTGAGTAATTTGAATGAGACGAACGTCCGTATGTTAAATTTTTAGATTCGAGTGTTACGCGAGTTGTATTTGCGGCCTTGTACGTGTCTCTTTGTGCGTTGTAAAATTGACCAACAATTACTAACTATTCTGAAAAATCTAATTAAAATGGAAATCCATTGTACATTGCGCCTTTGGTTAAGCCCTTGAATTGCGATTAACGCACAAACCTATTTTTGTACCTGTTAAAGCCTTCCAGCTCTTATCTCTGGCGCACTGATTAAATTTTATTTTTTCAACTTCACGGGCTGTGACGACGCCTTATCAGCAATTATGTGCTTTTGATAAGCTTCAGTAAATTATTGCCTTAATTCTAATGTTGATTTTCATTGAATTGCGCTAAGTATATCCGAGTCGGAGCAGACACCACACTACCAACAAACGCTTTTTGAAATTTAACTGATTAAAAAAATTCTTGTTGTTGGCAATGCTGTGTCGCTTGACTCGTCTATCACAAAATTACGTCATCAGCGTCCTACTTGAAGCAGTAATTTTATCCAGACGCAGTTACAAATGTATTTTCTTCGATCTTACAATACTAATATCAGATATGGGGGCTCTTATATTTTTTACAATATGAAGAATTATGAATCAATTCATTTAGCGTATTAAATCGATACAAGTGAAAAATGCGGTCTCTCAATCTCTCGCCGACAACATGGCGCTCCGAGTAACACAATTGTGTAGAGACGAAATATGTTACTCACTGCGCCCTTACAACAAACAAAAGTTTCGAATGTTAATAGACAACACAATTACACAGTTTAACACAATTTTTTAAATTAATTATATCTTTTAAGATTTCTTAATAAAATTACTACGTAAACACACCTTTCGTCGGCTATTGCTGCAGTGTGACCGGTCTAGACAAACGTAATAAATGTTGTTTAGCATTAGTGTGGCTGAATTTTATTATTTAGACACGTTGGCAGCTCAATAATAAACGATATAATGAGAATCGATATAACATTCACCGATACAGCATTCATCGTAGCGGTCGCACGTGTTTACTTCGGTTTTTAAACTTGGAGAAGACTCAAGCCGAAATATACATATATAAGTCAAAATGCCGCGCTCCAAACGTGATAAGAAAGGTAAGGGTTACATCAGGTACTCCTGACAGAATGGAATACATTCATTTTCTTTTGATTTTACTTGCAGTTTCCTTGACCAAAACCGACCGCAAGGGTCTTGCATGGAAGCAACGCATCATCGACGACATCCGATTTTGTGTGGAGAAGTATCCAAATATATTTGTTTTCCAGGTGCAGAATATGCGCAACAATTTGTTGAAAGATCTACGGCAAGAATGGAAACAAAATTCTCGCTTCATTTTTGGCAAAAACCGCATAATGCAAATCGGCTTGGGTCGCACAAAGGCCGAGGAAGTTGAGAAAGGAATACATAAGGTACAATATTTTATATGGATAAAAAATAAATGCTTTATTAAACATCTCTTGCAGCTTTCAAAACGCCTGACTGGTCAGGTGGGTCTGCTATTCACGGAGAAGAGCAAAGAAGAAGTACTAAAGTGGGCAGATAAATATTGGGCTGTGGAATATGCTCGCAGCGGGTTCACAGCAACGGAGACCGTTACCCTGCCAGCTGGACCTCTGGAGGAGTTTGCACACTCAATGGAGCCGCATTTGCGATCACTGGGTTTGCCCACTAAACTGGAGAAGGGCATTGTGACCTTATACAGCGATTATACGGTCTGTGAAAAGGGCAAAGTGCTGACTCCGGAGCAAGCGCGAATCCTAAAATTGCTGGGCAAGCCCATGGCCAAGTTTCGCTTGACCATGAAGTGCTCATGGACGAAGGCTGACGGCTTCCAACTGCATGTTAAAGATGATGAGCAAGAGTCAAATAAAGAAACAGATACCCCCATGGAAGAGGACGAGGATGAGGAGGAGGACGAGGAGGATGACGAGAATGCAGATGATGATATTGATGAAGAGTAATTAGCTAAGATTTCAATTAGAAACTAAGTTTTATGAATATGTATATAATAATTATATATATAGCTATTACAATTTCACTGTTCCTTACTTAGGCAGATGAGAGATTGCCGCTGCCACTGCCCGCGCTTTTCTTGGTAGTGCGATAGGCAATTACATAGCGCTGCGCCACCGGCAGCGGCTCTGCGTAGCCATTCAAATAGGATGAATCCTCGAATAGCACTTCGTAATCTTCCGTTGCAGTTTGTGGCAGGCGATGCACAATGGCCTTATAGAAGCATGTTGTTTGTGGATACAGAGCCATGACTAGAGATTTCAAGACGGAGAATTTGGCATTAGTTAAATTTTTGTTAAAGGGAAGGGTCCCACTACGCACCGACTGTATCCTTAGGGAAAAGCGCATGCCCGTCTGTCTCTGGATTGGCACGCATTAGTGGCAATGGAATAACTTTGCGTTTGCTCAGCACATGTCGGTCCTTCTGCTCTTCGTCTATGTCAATGACATCGTATTTGTTTTGACGGTGTAGGAACTGCACCACCTCAGCCAGGATCCAGTTCTCCTCTTCGTCGATGCCCTTGGCCAGCGCAGCCACATTGTCGCCCACCTTGGCCACATAGTTGCTCTCGGCAGGAATTGCTCCGCACAAAGGCGGTGCGCGCTCGCCAGGCTTGCCAACAAACAGAGGCAATGTCTGAGCCGAGAGCTGCACCATTTTCATGAGAGCACCACGACGAATGGCTTCCTTGTTGCCGGCATTGCGAGCCTGTGAATATGCAAATGTATTAAAATTGTGCATTATATATTTTTTAGCTATTCCCTTACCTGAATGCGTCTTTCATTTCGTATATTTCGTATCTCATGTATTTTGGCGAGGGCTGCTCGAATTGTTGCTTCCTCTTGACTTGCCTCTGCAATTTTTGACTGAAGCAGCGTCTTTAATTTCGGATTCGGATTTTGTTGTGCACGCACAAGGCTGGCTATTGAATTTTCAGCACGGCGTCTTTCACTATCCACTTTGTGAATAAGTTGTTGGATGTCTTTCAGGCGATCCTGTGAATAAAACAAATTGTAAATGAGTTTCAGGATGTGATAAGCAGTTTATGCTCTGATTACTTACCTGTATTTGTTGTGCAGCACTCTCCGCAGTAAGTGGCATTTTAATTCTTCCTGTTTTATTATTTGTTTATATTATTTCTATACCTACACCAAATAATGCACTTTTTTGTTTTGAGTATGCTGGAATGACAGGTCAACCTTGTTGTTGGTATTTTTATGTATGCAGTATCAAATATACTAAATAATGCAGAAAGCAACAAAGGAAATGATTAACAAATGATATATTTCTATATAAAATCAGATTGAATTATAGATACTTGATTTAATATAGCGAGCAAATAAATGAGAAAATTTAACTAGCAAAAATACTAGATTTACATTAATATATCGAAAATAGCTACTTCGAGTGCCATAGACTTTTCGATAAGTTGATAAAACGCTTATCGGTTGACTACCGCACTTTACGGTGAAAGCTGGGGAAAGTCGTTTTCAAACTGAATGTAAGAATATTAATATTTATATTAGTGTTAAAGCATAATGTTTACGGCAACGTGTATCGCTCCTGTTAATATGGCCCTAGTTAAATACTGGGGCAAACGAAACGAGGAACTAATACTGCCAATCAATGACTCCGTCAGCATGACTTTAGATGCTAACGAGATGTGTGCAAAGACCACAATAAGCGCATCGGAGAGCTTTAAACAGAATCGAATGTGGTTGAATGGCGAAGTAGTGCCCTTCGAGGAGAATGCCCGATTGATGCGTTGTGTGGAAGGCATACACCGTCTGGCCCTGGCCAATGGTGCGCACAAATTTCCATTATCGTGGAAGGTGCACATCGCATCTTACAATAATTTCCCCACTGCCGCTGGTCTGGCATCGAGTGCAGCGGGCTATGCGTGTCTCGTCTATACGCTGGCACGTCTCTACGATTTACCCATGAACGAGGAGCTAACGACAATCGCTCGCCAGGGCAGCGGCTCGGCGTGTCGCAGTTTATACGGCGGCTTCGTGCACTGGCAACGGGGCTTATCCGCTGACGGCAGCGACTCCATTGCCGTGCAGTTGGCGCCCGCTGAGCACTGGCCCAATATGCACATGCTGATCCTAGTCGTGAACGATGCACGCAAGAAGACCGGCTCGACCAAAGGCATGCAGCTGGGCGTTCAGACATCCGCATTGATACAGCATCGCGCAAAAGAGGTTGTGCCCCAGCGTGTCAAGGATCTGATGGCGGCGATTGATGCGCGTGACTTTGAGTCTTTTGCCGAGATCACCATGAAGGAGTCGAATCAATTGCATGCCATCTGTCTGGATACCTATCCGCCGTGTGTCTACATGAACGACGTGTCGCATGCAATTGCGAATTTCGTGCACGATTACAATGAGACGGTGGGCTCCGTGCAAGCTGCTTACACCTTCGATG